AGATTTTTATAAAATTTTATAGCCAAAGGATCCAATATGGCGGATGAATCTTTATTGGACACGTCATTTTGAATTTTTGAAAACTGATTTCAGTTTTGTAGTCGGCCACTCAAAGAGCCTTTTTATGGAAAATTTCATATAAATCTGATCACTTTTTAAAAAAATCCATCAACCGTATTATATCCGCCATTTTGAATTTTTAGAAATTACTGACTTCAGATTCGTAATTAGCGACCCCGAAAACTCTTGAATACGAAGTCCAATGAAGTTTGAAAAATCACAAAGTAAATTATTTTTACCGATTCAGCAAAGGGGTTGTAAATGACTTGGCTGATTCCAAATGTACCAAAAAACTTTGATGTACTCCATTGATATCCAAGCAGCTGACTGTGTGTGAACACCAAAAAGGTTGCGGAAGTCGTCTTCTCTTGATTGTATAACAGTTAACGGCTTTTAACTCTGTATAGTTATGTACCTCCATACAATTATGTAGATTCTGTATAATAACTTCACTCTAGAATAGCTTGCTACTATGTATGTATATAGTTTTGATCTACTTAGACAAAAGAAAAAAACTCTTTAAAGTATGTATTCTTCTAAAATTAATATGCCGTTACGTTTATTAAAATTTTTGGTATACAGTTACAAAATATACACACCGTGAGTGCTACTTCCTTTTACGACTGGTTAAATTCTTATACATACCCACAATACGCATTAGAATTGACTTGACCATCGCTTTGAACGCACTTCTATGAATACGGCGCTTTACTTATGTATTTCTCCGAACGCGTATTTCCCTTTCCTATTTGGCCTTTGATAAACCGGCTAACGGGCTTTGACTGAAAATTTTTGTCAATTTTTTAAAACAACGCAACGCAGCAAAATACAATAAAATAAGAAATGGAAGATAGAAATATGTAACTGAATGTATAATGTACAAATGTATGAATGTATATGTACATATGAAAATATGAATTTATGTTTGAATGAATGTTTGTAGATAGAAAAGTAAATATGTACTAAACGTGCATGCACATTAGGCTGCGTCCTTTTTGTATCTGGGAAATAAACGTAATTTCATTTTATTGTAATAGTGATATCCAGTTGTCTTGAGAATGAACAAAAGAGTAAAACATATAAAGCAGCAGAATTTTTGAAAAATTAAATTTGGTTGCTTAAATTTAGGAAGTACGTTAACCGATTGAAGCAAACGATACATTAGGTTAAAGGTTATAAAATTTAGTGAAACACTAATATTTAGTTCTCACGTTTTTTTTTTAATAAGGCTTCAAGTTGTCAATATATTTACAATGAACATTCAAAAAATTTTGCATTTGTAGTTCGAAATAATTTCAATATTTTTGGGTCTTTTGTATGTCGAGGAACACTGCTGGCCTTCGTTTTTTATTTTTCTCTCCATTATTTAGACCGAAGAGAAAAGTGCTATACAATGTATAAATAAGTTAATAGTGTGAGATCTTTATAGATCAAGCTTTCTATATTTCTTTCAAATATGAACCAAATCGGCCTATAAATACAAAGTTTTCAAATATCTCGCCTCCTGTACCACCTGAGCTAAGTTTGAAATTTTAAGTCTCTATCTCATCGGGAAGTTTCTTTAAATATTGATTGCAGAAGATTTTACCCAATCAAACATACTTACAAATGTACATGGATACACACGTACAAATACAGTTAAATAAAACCTTGTAAAAACCTTAAAAAATAAGTAGACTCTGTGTTTTCAATGAATAAATCGAGGATTAGGTACCGTTTGATAGTGAACTCGAATGCTTACGTTCACTAAATAAGAGTTGATGAAGCCATATCTATTTTAATTACATTATTTTATTATTTGGATTTAATCTACCATAAAAAATTGTAAACAATTACTTCATTAATAACAGAGCCTCCAAAAAGTTGTTGCATATTTCTGGGGGAAAAACATTTTTATTTTTTTATTTTGTGTGAACTTTCATGCTTTTCTGTTCTTTTGTCTGGGAATACCTCCAGTGAAATTTTTCGGTCAATAATTTTCTACAACATTTTAACTCTTTGGCGACCTTGCAATTGTCGTTTTATGCAGACTTTCCGAAAACGGGGTCAAAAGTACCTTTAACGACACNTTTACTTTATGTACTCAAACCACATATTTCGCTACCATAAGAATATTAACCCTTCTTCCCGCTCATTATAAAAACACTCAGGCAGAAAATTGCAAACTTAATATGGCCATACAAAAATATGTAAGAATGCAAGAAGGAGGCACTGTGTATATGACCTCATAAAACAATATCTTTTCCACTATTACCAAAGGATTAAATGAAGATACAAATTCCGACCCGCACTAATGTAGATACTTACATATGTGTTTACATAAATACAATAACAGAGTAGTGAGAAATACAAACAATAAAACAATTCCAAAATAGGTATGTAAAAACACAAAATGAAGCCGCAAGCTCTTGGCTGTGGGTCTATAAAATTGTATTTTGGTATTACACATATCCATACATGTATGTATGTGTATACATACATATATTCATACGTATGTGTGCATGTATGTATATAGATACACGTAATTTTGCAATGGGATCTGTTTTTTATTTCCACGCTTTTGTTTTTATTTTTTTTACATTTTGTTGCTCTTGCGCTATGAACTGTGACTGGTTTTTGGGTTACTCAGCGACACGTAATGATTTATTTTCTTTTGCCTCTGGGTCGTTGCCTACTTTTTGGCACGCGTGCCTACTAAAGCATAGATAAAAATTAATTCAATATACTATGTATATATTTTTATTTTCGCTGCAAATAATGTTTGCGAGTATTTTCGTTACGGAAGATAGAAATTTTTACGTAGATAATATAAAAATATAATTATTAAATAGTAAGAAAGTTATGTATGTATAATGGTGTATAATGTATATATATATTATATGTATGTTTTGAATATAGTTAGGACGATACTGAATAACAACAGATTGGCGTTTAAATATATACTAGTGTTTGGCCGAACTTCTCCTGATATTGTCACAAAAAGGAGAGGGACCTACAGTTTTACGCCGATTGCATTTTTATGAGAAGAATGTTTTGATTGATTTTCAGAAATACACTCGGAGTTTGGCCATTGTGACCGCTATTAAAAACCAAACTTTTTTTGTTTTTATATATTTTTATGTTGCGTTGAACTGGGATTGAACCCATTTATAGGTCTGGCGTGAACGTTTTGTGCCTCCGCCTCAAGTGCTTAAAATTACTCTTCCCTCAATCCGTGCGCACATGAAATCCCTCACGAAATTGAAGTTGTTTAATGTCTTACAATATATTTTCAAGGTTGCTGAACACGTTGGGCGAGAAAATTCGATGTGACCCTTACATTTTGATATGCATATTACGAAAAAGTCTTAAAAAAAAACGAGGAAAATAACGAAAAATTGCGCTTTTAAAGTTGATTATTTCTTAGGCAACATTTTTTAACATTTTTTATTGTTAGTAGGTAACATTTATAGCCAAAACTTTAGCAAACAAAAGGAGTAATCGAAGAGAATACTACGTCCATTTTATTTGGAGTATTACGAAAAAATTAAAAAAGAAGAGAAAAATATTCTAAAATTGCGCTTTAAAAGCTGATTAATCCTTAGAAAAAATTTGCAATTTATTATTACTGGTGCTATTTATAGCCACACCTTCGGCAAACAAAATGAGTCATCGCAGAGAAAATCAGTTTTTTTGTTAAAATCTTAAATAAGTATTAATATTTTTTTGTTAAGATAAAATTCATAATGACACTGTTTTCAACATAATTTTAAGTGAAAAATTATGGTCAGATTTACATTAACATTATCAAAAAAACGTGTCAGAACACGAACGATGAAACCACCTAAAGTTTATTCTAATTCTCTAAGCTCAACCTTGTTTTTCTTCGAAACAAAGTAAAGCGTTGCATACTTTTCTGAGTAAATTTGGTGTTTGGCAAGGAAATACAGCTTATTTTCGCGAGCAATCAATAGCATCGCGAATGTTTGCCTAATTTTCGGCGCTGTCAATTTTCCAAAATACTAATTACACTTTTGCAGTGTTACTTATAAACATTTTTCACTTGTTTTTTTTTTTCATTTCAGCAGCTGCATAGCAACTAAAAGCAGTATGGGTAACCAGCAACAGCAACAATAATCTACAGCTACTCATCGGTGGTGGCCTATAAACAGCCAAAAATTGCGGTAATAACACTCAGTGTAATTAAAAAAACCAACCAAAGGCGTTGCTAAGACGAAGTTGGCAGACAAAAGTGCGAGAGGCAAAAGAGAGCGCATCAGATAGAGCATGAAATAGCCCAAAAGCATTAGCATTGGCTGTGTGGTTGTGGTAGAATTTTAGGCACAGCGGTATAGCAACTTGTAAGCCACAAACGGTAATTTCGAAAAAAGGGAAAAACCAAAAAAGGCTGCAAAATAATTATGATGGCGAATTGAAAGGGTCGAAAGAAAAAAAAATAAAAATAAAATTGGCTCAACATTTTCAAATTAGCTTATGTACAACAAATTTGTAACTACTGCAACTAAATAGAACTTGTAGAATGCATTAGATATGTAGAGAAGGCGCTTGAAGAGCCAAGCAACAAATGTCGACTACTGGGTATTTTAATATCGCGCTTGAAGAGCCAAGCAACAAATGTCGACTACTGGGTATTTTAATATTTGCAGGCGTTCGAAATTGGCACTGCAAAATGTATTTGTGGCAACAGACCTCAAGCCGCAGTGGTAGTTAGTAAATGAGCAGCCTAAAAGTAGGCAATACAAAGGCGCAATTAAACGAATGAAAGCCAAACGAAGTGAACTGTGAGTAAGGGAAGCAGCCCTTGGAAGAGCGAGAAAAGTTTTTGATAGCAAAATAAATGGGCAAACATTAGTGACAGTTGATAAAACTAAATAGTGGCGGTGGGCAGCAACCGAAAAAAATAAAAATAAAACAGAAAAGCTAATTTAGCTACACAAACGGCAAAGCAAGACAGTATAAATGGCAAAAAGTTTCGTCTGTAGCGACCCAATAACGGAGCGAATCAATTAAAAAACACAATAACTGTATTGTAAATAACAACAAAAGCTGTTAAAATTTAAAGAAAAGAACGGCATACAAAACCAGCAACAATAATAAAAAATAATTGCTCAACTAAGTTCGGTGCTAGCGTTGGCTGTGACGTCGACGTTTTGCGGACGAGCGACAACCGGGTTCATTGCGCTACTAGGCCAAACTGGAACAAGCGCCTTACAACAGCATATAACAGCAACCTGCAGAAATGATGCCTATATTGTATGGCTGTCAGTTGGCATTGCATTGCTCATCTGTCTCGTAAGCGAATGGGCGCACAACGACAAATTCAACAAACTAAAAAACAAAACGAATAAGCCAACAACTTAAAAATATAGAGAGCAGTGTGAGTAATGAGTAAAATAAAAATAAATAAATTGGAAAATAAAAAGATAACGACACTAACGGAATTGTTATAATTGTTTCTAAAAAATTTTCTAGTTGTAGTTGTGCGAAAGTGTAGTTAATTAAAATTAGCAAAAAATTATAGTCTAGTATTTAAAGAACAAATCTGAATAAAAATGCGCAATACTCTGAATTAATTGTAAATGCGCGTAAATAATTGAAAAGCGCCAAACGAGCGCAACACGCTATTTCACTAAGCGCACCGGCTACACAAGCACACACACTACATTTAAAACGTATTAAAAATGCACGCATACATTTAGGCGCGTTAGCAAGAAATAACTGAATTTCGATTTCGGTGCATGGCTAAAGCAAAGCCTAAAAAATTAAGTAAACAAATAAGTAAATTAAAATAAATAAATACATTTAAGCCGGTTTAAGTAAAACAACAAGCGAAAAAAACACTATTTTAAAATATGCGCAAACACCAGCTCGAAAATATGTATCAAAAGTAATCCTTTCAATTGCATTTAAATCTCCTAAAAAGATACACTAACGAGTTTCCTAAAAAAAATGCGCGCCTAAAAGCAGACCAAAAGTGCGCCACAGCAACAAAACACAAACGCTGCCATTCAAAATTAACGCAACACTGCAACGCCAACGCGACGGTGGAGGAGGAGGTGGGCATACACTAACTACTGCCCACATCCATGCGCACGCCACCGCCACAAACCCGGCGGCGCCACAACCCTCAACGCCAGCAACAGCAATCGAAACAGTAGTGCTAACACCAAAATTAGCAGCAGCGTCGCCGTCGCCACTGCAATCACTGCAAACACATGTGCTGTGAGCAACAACAAAACCAACAAAACCAACAAGTACACCAACATCCAACTCAACGACATTTGGCGTTTTTAGCGCGCAGTAGCAGCAGAGTTGCTGCTGCCGCTGCCACAGTCGCCGCCGCCATTTTCGCTGCTGCCAGCTTAGCGTGCGCTGGCATTTTGGCGGGCTCTACTCCAACGCCCACCACCAATAACGCCACCGCTCGCGCAGCAGCCGCCGCCGCCGCTGTCGACGCCTCAGCTTCAGCTTCAGCTTCAGCTTCAGCTTCAAATTCGGCTACAGCTACCTCGGATGCCAGCACAGCAGAACGCGTCAATGTGAGTGCGGCAACTGCAGCGAATTCGATAAATACGAGTAGTAGTAGTAGTAGTAGTAGTAGGAGTAGTAGTGGTGATAGCAGTAGCAGCAGCAGCCGCGGCGGCGTATACGTAACATCCTCACAGCAGTGCGAAGTTGCTGCTGATTTTTATACCATACAGCGGACAGGTGTAAAACATAAAACAAATCCTCATACTTCCTCTGCACCATGTGGCAAGCGAAACGGTGGTCGAACTCGTAGTCGAAAAAAGTGTCTCGCTCGCGGTCGTATTAGCTTTTGTACAGCTTGCGGTAGTAGTGGTGGTAGTGTTGGTGGCAGTAACAGTGTTTGTGAGCGTGTCAGCGATTTGAGTGGTGAAGGTGGCATTAACGTAGACTTCGACTGGCAACCGGAGCGTTACGAGCGCAATATTGACGCAAGGCTGCGAGTTGTGGGCGATGCAACGTCTTGCGGAACAAGTGTAAGTGTGATTATCTACATATATGTATATGTACAAATGTTTGCCGTACACCCCCGTGTCTTAAGAATTTTTCCAACTATATCTTCTTTCTACTACCCTAATGTNCATATGTATGTACAAATGTTTACTATATTTTTTACATATAAATATACATTAGATCGTCGCAGAAAAAAAGTTTGCCGTACACCCGCGTGTCTTAAGAATTTTTCCAACTATATCTTCTTTCTACTACCCTAATGTCTGTAAATTAAATTCAACTCTCACTAATGGCGTTTTCTTTTCTCGAAAAAAATTTCACCTTCTGATATGGCAACATAATCGGAGTGCAATATTTTAAAGAAAGAGTACGCAATGTGCATGTGAAGATGCTGAGAAAAGAACACGAAAACTTGACAGCCTACGCCAGGGCCAAAATAAATGTAACATTCTTTCGAGCAAAGAAAATGCTATAAGGAAGTATTTTNCGAAAACTTGACAGCCTACGCCAGGGCCAATATAAATGTAACATTCTTTCGAGCAAAGAAAATGCTATAAGGAAGTATTTTAATTTGAAGACAATTTCAATTCTTTTATTTCGGTCGAATGTAGGGTCGCTTTTCGTAATTCTCCGTTATATATTCGGCATTTATAGTCGGATCTTATAGTGTTATCTAGACATCTATGTTTTTGTCTCAAGGAGAAAATTTTTGTGTTGTGTTCCAAAGTTTATTTACCGCAGTACAAGAGTAGTTACCCGCCAGATATCAGTTCTTAATACCCTAACGTACCACCCTAATGTTAAATAATTAAAATTCTTTAAAAATCATTAAACTTATGCCAATGAAACTTTTTTAAAACTACATAAAAAAACACATTCCGACTATAGGTGTCACCGAAAAATTTTTTAAGTGACCACCAAAACAACTTTTTTTGAAACAAAAAACTTTTTTTGAAATTGCCCAGCAAAAACACTTTAGACAGAGGCTGTACGGCTTTTGCTTGTAAGGTGGTAAGGCGGTCTAATGTATGTATGTATGCATGTAATAACTAATTAAAATATTTGATTTAGTGTTTAAAGGCTTTGTAGGTACCAGAAATATAAAAGTTGGGGCTCGGTTGCGGTAATATTTAATACCCAGAGTGGTGTACACTTGAACATTATAGAGATAGTGCTTTGTCATAGCAAGTAAATTTGAACGGCAAGCGCTATTCAATTGATGAAATGCCGCGAGATAGTCACGAAGTTTTTGGCTTCTACCAATCTACCTAGATTCCGATCACATTAGAACTTACCAGAACTCCCTGCAAGAGCAAGAGCTGTAACTTTTCAAACATTAATAGCTCCTTAGAAAAACCTTGGCATGTGAAACTGGCTTAGTTTTCGACAAACGTTTGCTGAGCTCACCTGAGGCTCATCTGTTCAAGAATGTACCGCAAATAGTAAATGACGTTCCCGTTCTACCCCTTGTCGGATGGTATCGTTTCAAGGGTAGCATTTTTTTTGCCAAACGTGTGTGCAGAGACAGAATATGTTAAGTGTTTGGTTTATAGGACCTAATTGTAAACCGCGCTGCGGAAGTATTGCCTGAAATCTTGATAGGCATTATGTTCAGCAAGCTGTTAGCGGCAGAGTGGGAGTGGTCCGCTTGACTCACGAATAGCTCCAAAGGCAGTCCGTTGTGCGCGTCATCAGACTAGAATATGGTGCCACAAAGAAAATAAAATTCTTTCGGCGGCAGATCCTATCACTAATCGTAATCTCCCCTGCATAAATATAGAGAAGTGGATGCCTTTCTCATACTTTTCTCAATGTTAGGTTTCGTGTAAAGCATCAGGCTCAAGTACTAGGCACTGTCAGAAACTCTAACCTTCTAGTTAATAACACCAGTTGGGTATTTTCATGATAGACGGCGCGGCCACTGTTAGCCGCTCATTTGGCCCCAAGGCTTAGGTAACTTTGGGCTAGTTCATTCCCAAACAGACTGCCCGAAAATCTACCTTCAACCACAAGGACTAAGCGCTGTGCTTAGGCAACATCCGACAGTCCATTTTTTGCAACTCCTCCAATTGGTCGTTTGCGATCACAATCTATGCTGCAAACAGATGTTGCCTCCCTCAGACGCGATTGCCTTACTTAACAGTCACAGAGAACTGACTGGTTGGTTTAAACTCCGACCTAATATTGTAATTACTTACCTCTGGCAATACGTTGCTAAAACCTCCTCGATATAGAGGAAGGCCTTTCAGTAAATTTGCTAAGATTTTCATACACGATCTCAAGGGATCCGATTTCTTATGTGCAGGCTTATTAGATTTTCCAGCGTCTCAGCAGAAACAAAACCAGTTGGTTGGCCAAAAAGATCGCGAAAAAATATGAGATATATATCTGACCCTCGGGATGCACACCGCTCTAGTATTTGGGAGTATTTTGATCGTATTAGCATTACATAATGGCGGCATTTTTGGTGGTGATAAATATATCGTGATATTAATAAGAATGCGAGGTTCCAAAATGGGTGTAATATTTCTTTGTGTGGAAGTAATGGAAGTGGAACTGCTCATATATAACTATGCATTTAATAAATTTCGAGATATATGTTCACATATCTAAATAAGTACGTAAGTGCAAAGGCTAATACAATCCACGGATATGTATGTATTGTACATTTGTGTGTGTTTGTTCTATTCATTAGTACATTAATACAACTTGTGCAGTAGATTATGGTCGCATAAAAGGTTGAGGTTCAATGAACTCCTACGCTCATGAGGTTTCATCACAATAGAGCAGCCATATAGACAAATAAAGAAAGAACTGATATGCCGGTCGAAATGTGACTGCTAGATATACACTCGTACATACATTCACATGTGAGAATTCACTTATGGACTGCAGCTTCCGGCTGCATTTAGAAATTAAATAGCTCATACTTCTAAATGATGCAATGATAATTGTAGTAAAGAATAAGTAGATAATAACAAAGCGCATTTGAAGGCAGCGGATTTATATTGAAAGATGAGCTTTAAATACTTTTCGTATAATCGTAAATTTTTTAATAAACATCTGTAATGAATGAGCGAGGCGGCTATGTTTGAGTTTATCAATTTTCTGCAGAGTTGATATGGGATGCATAACATAAAATTCGACCATAACAACCAATTCGATATTGAAATGACGTAGAAGCGATGTCAGCGAATACATGGAATCAATAAAGAATTCATAATATACAGTGGTGGAAGAAATAATAGAGACTTTTTATTTTGTCCAGTTTTGGCTACATTTAGTTTGTCAATTCGATGTTTAATTTAATTTTTATAAAAGTCTAGCGCATTGTAAGTATAACATGCACCATAGAAATCGAAATTTCAAATTTCGTACCAAAACTAAAAAAATTCAAAAAATTTTACCAAAAAAACCTTTTATTCGGAAATTTAGATACATTTTAAGTATACAGGTTTATGATACATTAAATTTTAGTAGGAGTGTTGAATTTTAACAGTTTTTTTTTTTAGCTGACGGTGTTGTGCATTTTCTTCCATGTAAAGTTTGCTCAAAATTTCTTTTTATATAGAAGATAGTGGTCTGAGTCGATGTTTGGCCCTTTTTATCACCCATCACAATTAACAGATTAAAAGTATACCACATCAATGACCTTGAGATAGTTTGAAATTCTTTTTGAATTTGATATTAATTTTGATGTAATTACGCCTCAAATTTAGTGCCTTAAAAGTGTAAGCAATGGTCTTTCTGCGAGAGTTGTTTGTCGCTAGTGTCCAAATCATCACTTTTGAAATGCCGTAACTGAAAATGCCGTGCGGAAATTTGGCAGTTGGCAGAAAAAATTGCATTTTCTGTGCTTCACTATATTCTCAGGAATGGCTTTCTTTCTCCGCTTTTGTAGTAAATGAACTTATCGCTCTGCTTATTGCGCCGTTTTTTCCTTGCTTTAGAAAAAATTAAAAGCAAAATTTTGTTTATACTTACTTATGAATAGACTGCGGACGTTTATGCAGAAAACTAAGCCTAAAAATATGTTCCACTTAGATTAAGTGACTTAACTATAAGCAAAAAAAATAAATTTGTATACATTTTGTTTATATGTAGTTATGGGTTTCATATTTTTAGGCTTCGTTTTCTGCATAAACATCCGCAGTCTACTTATGTTTATTTTTCTACTCTTTTAAACACTGCATTAAGACATTATCTGTTTCAAGATTAGCCTTGTGAATGATAAGCATACTCACAATCTTTTTTGAAGTGAAACTTCTTAATTGAGTTCGGAGATGTTTGCGTTAAATATTTAATACCAGGAGCCAGGGGCGCACCCAGGAATATATTTTAGGGGGGGTTTTATTTTTCTGAAGATATATCATCGGAAAATACTGAAAATTTTCTTCAGATAATGCGCTCTTTAAAATATATTTATGCAAGTTTTTTGTACAGCATGTAATAAATAAATAAACGTTTTACAATTCATAAACTGCACTTTATTTACATAAGACTAACAAAGCTCAAACACTTTTAACCGACTTCAATAAAAGGGGAGGTTATCAATTCGCCGGAATACATAACTTTGGATCACGTGAACCGATTTCAATAATCCTTTTTTTATTGGAAAGATGGTACCTCAAGGTTCGCCCCGTAATTTGGTTTAGAGATCCGATGATTGGATCATGAAGAAATTAACGGTACCCCTAAATTTGAATATAAGAATTGAAGTCGGTTGTGTTCGTTCCTTCAAAACTACTTGTTTGATAAAAAGTTCTATAAACCCAAAACCCACCCCTTGTGTGCGCTAATGCCAGGAGCGTTCGTTCGATTTTCAACTGTCAAACTAAGGATTTTTTTTTTTTTTGATAAATACTCCAGCTTAGAGCATTTCTACCAAAATTCGTAGCAACCATAAACGCTCAAATTTTAATCAAATTAGCTTCAAGCTGTCAATCTAATGGCGTTTTCGTTTCTACAAAAAATGTTGCCTTTTTATTGCCTGGTTCTTAGTGTTTGTACTTAGAGGGCAATG